TCCCTGCTCGGCAGGAAGCCTGCTTCTCCCTCTCCCACTCCCCCTGCTTGTGTTCCTGCTCTCACTATCTCTCTCTCTCTGTCAAATAAATAAATGAAATCTTTAAAAAAATAAAACTAATCTCTTCACCATGATTAACTCCGTAAGGCCCCACATTTTACTTTTCGCAGGGACCAGAGGTACTGGACCTCACACAGCCACTCAGTAAATATCGCTCATTTGTAGCACACAGCCTTAAATGTGTAGTTTACTCTTCAATTCCATAAGCTTTCTGGGAGGTTCTTATAACACAGTGAAATCAAGAAGGAGACCGTGTTGGGTCTCCTGTGAAACCATGGCCATTACAACCAGCCTAGCCTCCACTTAATATCTCGGGGAAAGAAGCTACAGCTCATCAAAGTTGACAATACTGGCTGTTTTCATTTTATTTTATTCCTGCATCCTCCCCAAAGGCTCAGCCACTTAGCCTCCTCCTCTCCTTCCAGGCCTCCCCTACCAGAAGCTAGGTGGAGAAGAGCAAAACCAGGGCTCTTCATTTTGCTAATTTTATGGCTCGGACAACAATTCTGGAAGGAGGAGAAGCTGAAGGCACCCAGAGGATGCTTCCTGTGAATCTAGAAATCTGCATTGTTCACAGAAAAAAGGCAGGGGCTCGTTAGGCGGACAGGAAAGTTCGACAAATATTAAAGTGCCACCAGCTCACCCTGTGCTTTAAATTCCTTAAACCGCCCCAAGTCATCCCGGTACATCCGCTTGATTGTGGTGGCAGCCCTTTCCTTGATGTCCGGAATGAACTCTTGGAGCTGCCTCACAGCCGAGTCTAAATCCACATCTGAGTCACCCGAATCTCTGGAGTCTTCCGATAAATATCTTGTTTCAGAATCTTTGGCCAATTCCAAATGTCTTTCCTCTTCATTTGTAGGTTCTAACCTGCAGGAAAAATTGAGTTAACTCACATTAACCTGTCACTTGCCCTGGTGGCTTTCCAATTCTTTTCTTAAAATGATCCTTCACTCAGACTAGGCCGGTGTTAAAGCTAGGAGGGACGTTGGAGCTGATTCAGTCTGTGATGTGTGGACTGAGGTAATTTGACCAACGTATGCATACACCTCAGAGGCCGCCTACAAGGGACCCGTGTGGCCCAAAGCCCAATTTCCAGCATGTGTTATTTCTTGTGTCACTACTTCTTAAGTTTTCTGGTTTTAGATACTGACTTCCTAACGGGCTAAACCCTGTTCTGCCCCATGGACCCTCAAGACACTCCCCAACCCCCTTCCAAGGATTTCAGTTTTGTGATAATGGTTACTAATTAATTAAATCAATGTAACAATGACCACATTTTCCCCCCTTTGCTTAGTTTTCTATGCATCTGTCACTAATTCATCCCCAAATGTCTGCCAGATGTCCAAATCCCCTCTTACTGTGGTCAATCATAACAGCTAACCACTCAGGCAGGAAACTTAAAAAAAAATTATACCCATTAGTTCGAGGAAAGGGTCAGCAGCTTTCAGAGGGCCCACAGCCCAGTACAAGTTCAAAACCACCCCCTCGACATGCCTGCCTCCTATCAGTATTACCCCTGATGAGAGGAGGTGAGTGGGCCCCTCTTATCGATACCACCTGAAGTGGCATCGTCTCCCACTGAACTTCTTGGTGAAACTATTTTAGGCCAGGACAACCTAACAAATGCAAAAATGTAAAAAAAAAAATTGCCATTGAGTAAAAATGGGGAGAAAAATCTGTCCCAAGTCCTAGGAACTGAGATAAAGTGGTTTAAAAAACTGCTCTATTAAAAAAAAAAAAAGCTGTGGGGCGCATGGGTGGCTCAGTTGGTTAAGTGACTGCCTTCAGCTCAGGTCATGATCCCAGGGTCCTGGGATCGAGTCCCGCATCGGGCTCCCTGCTCTGCGGGGAGCCTGCTTCTCCCTCTCCCACT